GTTGAATTGAGAGCAGCGGGTTACCTTGTCCTTTCCGGTGCGGTTTAGCTCATTTTATCTATTTGGTTTGGGGCATTGTAAACGTTTCGCGTGACACAACGCAAGTTATAATAACCCCGAAAATGTTTTCGTTTTCAAATCTTAAAACTATACGCTATTCTAAATATAATTAAGGCTACATTTAGAATAGCGTGTAAAAATTTCATAGAATTCCAGCGAATCGATCCTCATAAACACGAATGAATTTGTTAATTGTAATTTGAAGTAGATACTAATTTGACATCTATCCGTCGGTCAAGGAAAAACATCATGAGAAAAGCTTTATGAGGGGTAAAAATATTTCTGTGACACGGGAAGTCCTCCAACACATATTACACACACGTATTACACTCAAGAACCTTTCTTCTCTATCGGTTGTCGAGCTATATGGCCGACTCAAGCTATGTGTCATTATTAATGTTAATTGTGTAAAATAAATAACATACATTGTAAGCTGTTATTTTAAAAAAAGTACTGCTGGGTTTCTTGCTGGTTCTTCCCAGGACAGAGGTTTTTCCCGAACCAGTGGTAATTAAACAAAAGATTTTTTTCTTTCAATAAATATTATTTATAATCTATATTGAATAAAAAGGTTTCTGTTTCAATGTTATAAGAAATAAACAAATAGACAAGGAGTTGCTATTAGCGTTATATTACTTTTGTTTAGTCAATTTGTGATCCATTAAAAGTGTTATTATATTTATCTTTTTTTAAGTACTACATTAATTTACAGTTCACACATTGTAATAGTGGCCAGTTTCAGAAAGCGATTCGTAAAACAAAGTTGAAAAAAAGTATTTAATTTACACGAAAACGTTTTAAAATATTTATCTTTTTTATCTTCGCTTACTAATTTGACATTGCGTAGTTTGCACCACACTCAATACAAACTCCATTAGCAGGTGTACAAAATCTGAGCGGGCCTCGCCGACCTCAGCGGGTGACCAGTCGTTTCGAACTCTACAACCTTTGTGCCCTCCATCAAGACCATTTCCTAAAGAGCGCGAGGAAATTACTTCGCGCGCGTGCTATCTCAATAACTACCCACCTGGTTTTGTCTTTTTTATTTTTTTAAGTTTAATAATTTATTCATTAATAATTTATTTTATACGTGGTAGAGCCATGCTGCAGCTATATTAGTAGTATAGATGTAGCACGAATGGGTTGGCTCGACCGGGGAAGGACCACGTTCTCACAGAATACCAGCGTAAAATAGCACCATAATGCTGCTGTGTTTCGTATGGTGAGTGTAGAAAACTGAAGATCCTTTTTTACTGGAAACGAGGAATTCCATCTTAGTCCTCACGAGTGACAGTGCATCTGCATTTTGATTCGTAATCGATGTTGGATTTAGATGTCTATGGTCCACAGCAACCACTTACCATCAGGTGGGCTGGCTATATATATATATATATATATACACTACTGCGTTAAAGATATTTGATTTAAATCTCAGCGTTCTGCTATAAATATCTGATGATAGTGACGTTAAAGACTTGCTTTACTCATCGCGCTTGGTAGATTAACCATCGCTGTACCATACGTGTCGTACCTTTGACACATGAGTAAAGAAACTTTACTGTACGGTGACGCTTTTGTTTGACTATTTGGTTGCAAGTTGTCAAAGTCATAAGTACCTATATATCTTATTTGTGAATTTATTATGATATCCCCTTATTAAACAATAGTCTACTGATGAACATCTCTTCCGTTAAAGTGAGAATATTTGCGTTACGCTTGGTAGTCCGATAGTCGTTGTATCTTATATACTGCATCTTGTCAGTCTGATATTGTAATTTTATATCTAAGATATAAGAAATGGTCTTATTACAATCGGAGGACAAAAGATATGTTCTAGAATTTACTACGAGTACCATAATCGTCCTCACGACACTTATGGTACCAAATCGCGTAATGAATTATATTACGGCTCCACCTCACGAACCTAAGTCACCGTTTTTAACCGACTTCAAAATGGAGGAGGTACTTAATTTAACTATATGTTTATTTTTGTGTTACCTCTTTTCTGGGTGAACCGATTTCGATGATTCTTTTTTGTTTGAAAGTTGGTGCTTTTCATGTGGTCTCGTATAACTTTAAACAAGGTCTGACCAGTTGTTTTTGAGTTATCTTTAATAATTTATATTGAAGTTGGTTGTACAAAATTTTTAATTTTACCACTTGTATGATAATAAATTAGATCTTAAATTGCTTTCAGTATGCAAAACTAGGATTTAGAAGTACCCTAACAGCCGTCATACTATTACAAGCGTTGCCTAACACTGTTGAAGTTTCTACACGTCGTTCTAGTTAATTCACAGTCACCGCCGCTGCTTAATCATTATACCGGTTAAATGACGAGACATTGAGCGCGTTTAATGGCGGACAGTTGTAAAATCATCGTCATCGGGGACATAAAAATACTTAGAACTAGCTTCTTTACAACGGCGTTTATTATATATTATATAATAAAAAGAACGCACACTTGACTTCAATAAACGTGTAACCAGAGAGTTGACATTTTCTATGGGCTGTTAAATGTCGTTTGAGCGACGTCGTGTGCCGACCGATGAAGGAAGGCCTTGACTTTAATTACATACATTAGTCGTTTGGGTAATTTAAGTTGTCAATTTTATTGTTATATAGTGATGTATTTTTAAGATGTGATTACGGCGAGAATTAATCAACACATTTCGTCACGTGGGCGGCGATAAGAGAGATGTAAGAGAAGAGGGTGATAGAACTCCTTTTATGCCTAGAAATTCGCCTGGGTTCTGTTTGTTACATCCTCTCACATATTTCTGTTGACAATTTTTTTATATGATAAGGGTGACAAACGAGCACACAGTCCATCTGATCCTAAATAGTTGCTGCGGCCCATAGACATCTACATCTATCCTCGATTACGAATCAAAATGCAAATGCGTTGTCACCCGGGACTAAGATGAAATGCCTCGTTTCCAATAAAACGGGTCTCCGGTTCTCTACACTCACCATACGGAACACAGTAACGTTAAGCTACTATTATGCGCTGGTATTCTGTGGGAGTGTGGTGCTTCCCCGGTTGAGCTGACCCATTCGTGCTACAACTATACTACTAATATAGCTGCAGCACGGCTCTACCACGTATAAAACCGTACCGTACCACCGTAAAAAAGCAAGCGCAACAGCATCTACTAATTTAACTTTAAGTCGGTTAAAATTATTTTTTGATTCAAGAGTCTCATCGAAGATTTGAACCTTAGCCCTAGCTACTCACTGCTTGATCACAGAGTTAGACGGCATCATTTGAACATTGCAGGAGCGAAGTAATTCAAAAGCATCGTCATATGTATCATTAATCAAATCTGTCTTTAAAACAATAACCATCTATATTAATTCCCCGGTAATAATAACCTATTACGGCCACATAACCGATCGTCAAATAGTTATTTAGAGTAGTGCCCTTGGGCGCTTGTCCAACTAATGACTCGACAAGATTAATGAAATCACTAATTACACTCGCGACAATCGTTGCCTTTAAAGTTTGCTTTTTGTTTTGACTTACGCATGTTTACTGCTTATTATGTGTAAAACTTGTTTACTCGTTTTTTTTTTTATCGAATTAGGGTTGACAAACGTGCACGCAATCCAACAAAGGTTATTGGGCTGTGACCCAAAGTTACTAATCTATCCTCGATAAAACTTACAACACGGACGCGTTGTCACCCTTTAGCACTAAGATAGAAAGCCACAAACGGTCTCAGTTTTAAGCCCGGTTTTAAGCCACCTGCATCCATCGACTACCTACGTGTTTCATCAGGTCGTGACTCCATCTGGTGAGAAGTCGTCCAACACTGTGCAGACCTTTCTTCTCAATTGTTTTCCAATTTTTGAGCATTATGGATGGCCCATTGCCAAATCAGTTTACTTTGAGCTATTTCAGCTAATCTTGTTCTTACGAATTTCCAACTCCGCCTTTACCATCCAGCTCTGAGTAGGTTTGATTTTCCTCATACGATTTTAGTTCTGTTAATCATCACTGGCGATACGCACTATATCTTAAAATTTTGGAGAATATGGGACAAATGTATTTATTTTGTATAAGATATATCGGACGATAATTTACGCGTTCTTACTATTATTTCCTTACCTTTCTTGCATCATATCATTTCCCTTTCATCAATTTCTTGCATCATATCGATAAATCAAAGCCCTGACTGGAGGTGCCGCTTAAAAAAGCACATTTCAATTCTGGGACTAAACAAAGTACATAGACGCAAATTTTATTTTTAACGGATGAATCTACACCGCAAATTTTAACCGAATCCGAATCCCTACTTCGCAAACGTATCAGTTATTTATCTGCGGAACTATTTATTAAGCCAAGAGGAAATTAAAGTAAACGCAGCTAAGCAACTCCAACACTTAATTGAAATTATATAACTTAGGAGTATATAAGGGCTACATAAACATTTACTTGGGCTTAGGGCTATAAACAAATCAATTGCCACTATTGTGGCATATATTTATCATGATGGTCGCAGTGTACATCTGTAAATTGTAAGAGCTGAATAGCCACCACTACTACTAAAGTAGCTGCTCGCACACATTTAACATTATATTAATTAAAATGTTGTATAACACATAATTCTGCCGAGATTACACTTCCTTGGTCCAAAGGTATCGTTGCCATCAAAATCGATGAAGAAACATTAATAAATGTCAATACAAAAATATTAGGCATATATTACATAGTACTTACAGAGTTGAGTAAAGTACCGGCGAACAGAAAATAAAACTTTATTAACATAGGTATCAAATGTCTCAACACAGGCATGACACTGTTAGTACAGCTTTATTATATAATACGGGCTTAACGCCAATTTATAATCTGTGGTTAGTAAAATTTATTTCATTTAATAGAATAGTCTCAGTAAATAACTCTCATTTTCCCGCTTTAGATATTGCAATCGACTCACCTTCTCTCCTCATGCCCATTTTGAGACATTTTCTCAGTCTGCAGTACTGGCACTGGTTTCTGTGGTGCTGATCGATTGGACAATTTCTATTCCCTCTGCAGGAGTACGTCAGGTTTCTTCTGACTGATCTCTTGAAAAATGATTTGCAACCTGCAGAAAAAAGTGCGCTTTTGTAATTCATGCAGTACTATTTTTTTTTTATTTCTACAACAGCAAACAAATTAAAGTAAAACAATAATTTTCAAAATGCTTTTTGTATTCAATGTATTTTTTTTTTCATTCAGTAGAGTCGCCCAAATAAAAAAAAAACTGTAATTAGCTTTTTAATTTTATACTTTTATAAAAAAAAAACTACACTTTGTAATATACTATATGCTAAAAATTTGTAATATTATTATCTGTACGAAGCTCAGACCAAGAAATAAAGACGGAACGCTGAGTACATTTCAAATGACGCATAAACCATGCCATATGTAACATCCACGCATCTAAAATAACTTACAAACGACATTATGGTGTTTGGTGCATAATATGTGTGCTTCCAGGTGTAAACATTATGACATTTACCCTTAAACGACGAGCATGTATGCGTAGGTATATGTGTGTGACGGAGGAAAGAGATGTATGTCTCAGGATAGCGCCAAATGGAAGTCTGTAGTCTTTGCCTACCTCTGCCTACCTATTGTGTCCTTACCCATCTACCTCTGGGTGACAGACGTGAATGTTTCATGTTATGTTAAATATATTGTGTTCTATAAAAATATATCCCCTTGTTGTTTATATATTGTTGTTATTGAATATGTAGACAGATTTGTTTCAAAATTTCCACATTCCATATACGTGGTAGAGCCATGCTGCGGCTATATTGGTAGTATAGTTGTAGTACGAATGGGTCGGCTCGACCGAGAAAGGACCACGCTCTCACAGAATACTACTTGAGCTACCCTGAGCTACCACCTAATAAATAAAGAAAGAACAAAAGGTGCGTGCGTGAGTCCGTATCGAGAAGTTGAGCATGGTTTCGGCATCACTTGAAATGTTCATCGCTTCGTCTATCTTTTTCTGTTGGTCTCAGGTACGGAGGATATTACATTATTTAAAAACAGTTAGAAGTCCAATTTATAAATATCCGGCATTACTTACAATTGATTACCGTTTACATAAATTAAGTATTAATGATCTCTATACTTGTCTCTTTCTATTGTCATTATGTGAAAAAAGAGAGAAAGCAACTTTAAGCATTTCTTAAATTGATGTCGATTTTTCTGAGCAAGACTGATTATTCTTTGAACTAGCTTGCAATTTATTTAATTAATTTTTTGTAACACATTCGTTTCTAGATAAACATGAATTCTTAAACATAAATAAAGAGCCCAGTTATTTTAACTGGGCTCTTAGTTCTAACAGTGTATCAACATCATGAAAACGCAAAGGAAAAGAAGCGTGTGGTGTCCTGCGGTCACAGTGAAGAAGTATGTAAGAAGTGAAAGTCATTACTGCCCGGAAAAACTCTCCATCTCTATCTCTCATTTTCATTCTTTTATTTGTTTTAATTAAAAACTAAAGTTACAAACTATATAACTACGTTCATGCTGAGTACAGGCCTTCTCTCATTTATGAGATGGTTGAGTCATATCAGTTTATTTATTTAATAATAATTGGCAATCTAATAGAGATGATACAAAAGATTACAAAACCAAAATTAGACATTATTATATAAATGAAAACAAGACAATTTAATAATAGGTGAGCTACGCCTGATCTCTCTCCGGTCGTGTCGGTTTACCGTCCCATCGGACTTTGAGAGTGAGGGAATAGAACATGCACCTGTGCTTGCGTATACACTTGGGCACTATAATCCTGTCCTGCGTCAATGGCTAGTCTCCGTTGAGTCCGCCGTGAGTAAAATTCGGTCTAGAGGACATTAGTTGAGCACAGCATGCTTGAACGAAGTAATTTTCATATATGGTAGATTTACGCTGCACCTATATTATATTATACCTACGCTCTCACAGATTGCCAGCGTAAAATAGCAGCTTAATGCTGCTGTGTTTCGTATGGTGAGTGTAGAGAACCCGAGACCCTTTTTACTGGAAGTGAGGCATTCCATCTTAGTCCTCAGGGATGACAACATACTGCATTTTGATTCTTACTCGAGGGTATATGTATGCATCCACTTACCATCAGATGAACTGAGAGCATGTTTGCCACCCGTCTTTTTAGAAAAGTAATATTTTATACTTTTACATGCTTAAATACAAATAAAAAGGTAATATCTAACAAAGCATAGGATGGTTCGATTATATTAATCATTAGAATAAATAAAAATATAAAGGAAATCGTAAAGCATCAAGTCGGATGCTTAATGATCAGCTTAAACCGTTTGTCAGATAGTAGCCGCTGGTTAGCTTGGCTTGTTATTTGTCTAATACTATTTAATTGTATTACCATAATCCAATATATCATCGACTACTCGATCGTTAATTCGACGATTTGTATGGAAGAATCGAAACGAAACGAATCTATAAAACAGTTAAAATACCAACTTATCGATTTAAAAATAGTTATGTCCGCTCTCATGAATATGTTATGCGTAAACATTAGAATAAAAAACAATTTGCGTTAACAGACGTTTTTCAATCGATTAGAAATTTTCACAGCTTTTTAAAGTGTAACCTAATGCGTTTCGTAATAGAGTTCATTATCAGATCGTTTCGTTTGTAGATTAATATAATTACATATATAAATAGGAGAGTATCGTTCGTAAATTAACGTGAAAAATTATTATGGATACGTATTAGCGTTAATTTTTTAATCTTGTGGATTGGTAGAGCCATGCTGCAGCTATATTATGGTTGTAGCACGAATGGGTCGGCTCGACCGGGGAAGGACCACGCTCTCACAGAAAACCAGCGTAAAATAGCAGCTTAACGCTACTATGTTTCGTATGGTGAGTGTAGAGAACCGGAGACCCTTTTTACTGGCAAAGAGGCATTCCTTCTTAGTCCTCACGGGTAACAACGCATCGGCATCTTGAGTCTTTATTGAGGATAAATATAGATGCCTATGGGTCACAGTAACCACTTACCATCAAATGGACTGTGTGCTCGTTTGTCACCCGATCGTATAAAAAAAATGTCGTAAGAGGCGGCTATAAAAAGTCAAAAGCTCTATCTTTTGAAAGTTGACAGTATAACAACCCCGCTGAAGCCAGACGTAAAATACATACAAGGTTATTTTGCAATAACCAGCCAAATTTGCAGAGCAGGTTCAGAATAAGTAATACAGCCAAATGGCTAAGAAAATTTAATGAAAAAAATCATAAACATTCTGCCCTTTTTATCTTTTAAATTTAAAATGCGTGTTAGTGTATTGTTTTAACTGATTTTACTGCGCACGCTCACATTCTTACGGGTTGATCGGTAGGCAAAAACGTTGTTGCCCATAAATCACATTCAATTTGGGACGATTTCAAATAAAAGTAGAAGCCTTATTTATTTTGTCGTATTTTCAAAAACTGCAATAACGGTATATTATTATTTTATATATTTGAACTTAAGTTTAAAATTTGGCTACTCTTAGAAATATAACCCTGTATAACGGCGACGAACTGTAGCATCAAACGTGCGAGACGTTTGACACTGCGATCGTGAATCCATCTGGCAACGTGGCGATCATGGCAAATACTGCATACAAACGGAGACAACCAAAGAGGTCCATGTCTAGACTTTTACGGGTTTCTGATGAAGACGATCTATTGATCAATTCATTATTACTTTATTACCTGATTTATTAGGACTGGTTTTGATATTTCGCTAAAAACTTGCCCATGATTTTACCTGTCATAAATACACAGACGTCAACAACTATTTATCTATACAACTAATTAAATTGAAGTGTCTGTTTGTAATGTCAAAATTACAGCTTTTTACTAAATGCATATGAAAGTCTATACGGTACTAATAACAAAAATACCATTTTTAAAGTTTTTGTCTGACTGTATGTCCGTCTGTCTGTGTGTCTGTTTGTTCCGGCTAATCTCCGAAACGTGTGGACCGATTTTAACGGGATTTTCACTGGCAGATAGCTGATGTCACAAGGAGTACCTTAGGCTACCTTTATTTTAGAAAAAGTTTAAACTTAAACTAAAACAAAAATTAAAAGCCCAAATAACACGCGGGTGAAGTCGCGAGGAACAGCTAGTCTATACACATAAATGAAATTGAAGTGTATGTCTGTAATATTGAAATTACTGGCCCCTGTTAAGCTCAGGGGGTTATTTATATGGTACTAAGAGATTAAACATTTTTGTCTGACTGTCTGTCTGTCCAGGCTAATTTGCGGAATAGCTGAACCGATGGTGATGAAACATTACAAACAGATGAGAGCAATGACAGGAGCGATCTAGATAAAATTTTATCCCAAAAACTTCTATTTTTGAACAAACGAAAAATCTAAATAAACAGTCAAATCCGGGGCGGGTCGCTAGTAAGGAGTAAGATTATAATATTCAAATATCATTAGAAAGTGCATTGACAGTTAATTTAAAGTGGCGTGTTCACACTCGCGTGATCTTATGCCATTAGTTCGTTGTATTAATACGTATTGTAATGGCTAGTTTAGAATAAATCTCGAAAGATGAAATATTGTATGCGTTGCTTTATTTTAAGTAATTATGATGAACGCGCTTTACTTAAGTTACATTCTTAAACGTATACGTCTACAGTTTATTACGGAGACTTGTTTATTTTTATGATCCAACAAGTCTGGCGTAAGATGTTTTCTTAATAAAATGAATTTATCTAAAACTCGTTTAAAACACCGACAGAGTAAGCTTTGAGTATTTAGTTTAAATTACTGTTTGTCCGGAAAACTAAAATAAAACTATACTACGTTAACGTTCGGTAAAACCAGTAGGAAAGACTTGTTAAAAATGGTAGAATTGACAAAACATGTCGGGACTGGACGACTTTGTAGCTACGTAGTAACTCATAGGCAAATAGTGTTTACTGATTAGCGGTGAAAGAAAACATAATACAACTGTCAGGAAAACATTTGAAGTGTGCAAAAACATATTCGTAAAGTGCGGTGGAACTTCTCTACTCCAAAAACCCTATCAAAAATCAAAGTAGACCCATGAAGCTAATGTT